AAACACATATGCTCGAGGAATAACATCAGCAATAAGAGCCGGGTACGTTATATATTGGATAATAACCAGTAGAAATTTAACATCGTGTGACACATGAGGGGGTTAGAAGGAAAGGGATGTAAGTGACTTTGATCGATTCTCTTCATCGACTTTCTCTTTCGTTAATAATTCAGCTTCCTTGATTCGTGTGCCATTCTGAATGCTAGATGAGAACCAAACAATGTGGCACAAATAGGGCAAAATCTGTTTATAAAGCTGTGGCTATCAAAAGAGAAAGTCGATGAAGATAATCGATCAAAGTCACTTACACCCCTTTCCTTCTAAACCCCTCACATGCATATCTGTATCGCTGTATCGGCCGCATGGAAGATTGCTTTTACCGTTGATGCTATCGATCAGTAGGCACATGTTGTACTACGCGTGCATCTGGTTTACGTGGTGGCGGTTCAATGCGTAAGTGCAGTAATGAGTCCTTTTTTGAAAAGTTCCGCTATAAGTAACGGATTGAATGATTTAGACTTGTGATATTAATGAGCTGATGAGCTGCGGTTCCTAAAAATGAACCGCGGGTCATTAGCTCACTTTAGTGAATCGGGTCTTTAGAACAGCTCGGGAGCGGATCGCCCATCTCTACTTGGCACTACTCAAATTTCACCAAACAGCGGTACAGCGAAAATGGCGTCACAGAGGTTTCGAAGAAGATGAATCCGGCTAATACTCCGGAACTAAGGCCAATTGAGGAATAGTAGTCAATTGTGAAGCACATACTGAAGAAAAATGGTGGAACTGCAATTGACCTGCAGGATTTCAAGTGGAAATGGAATTTGGCAGCCAATCAAGTGGGAACAGGGCTGAGATCGCAGTAGGCCGCTCTTGAAAGCTGACGTGTTTTTCTTTAGCTACGTATCTTTCGTCAGCGAGTTAAACATTTTTGCATTAAATTTGTTAATTTGTGTGCTGAAATTTCGTTTCAAGTGTCCATAAAGTTATCATTTCGTGATATCAAGCTGAATATCCTCCTCCCCTGATCCTATCCTTCGACAATGTACCTCTCTAACCTCGGGTAAGCCGTGAGTATTCGGCCCAACTCCTACTAGACATAGAATTAAGTGAATTTTGTTACAAACAAAGAACAATGAACTATCGGCTCCGTAAAGCTAACGCGATTGCGCATTCCAAATAAACGAACTTGTTAAAAAAAAGCTGAACATTGCATTAGGTCCTAAGTAACATTGATAGATTATCTTCGTCGACTTTCTCTTTGTATCCCCACGGCCATGTAAAGATATTCCTTGGTATTTTCAACACACAGATCGATAAAAGAAGCTTTTATCTAGCACAGGCTTGATGGAGCCTTGTTCGCGAGTTTGAAATGAGCCGAGCGTGGCATATTTCTAAGGAGTAGAATGCCTACTGCCAAATCATTCCACTGAGCTTCAGAGCTTGTGTTTTCTATGACACACTCTTACTCTCACTCTGGGTGAACTCTGAGCTTCTTGCGTCGAACAAAAAAGTCATCCGGAGTCTTGAAAAGCGCACCACGCACGGAGAAAAAAAAATTCTACCAAAAATTTGAGTTTTTTTTTGCTTAATATTGAGTTTAGCCGCTCACTTGCACTCTTTATTGTTGTCAAAAAAGGAACGAGAAACTCGACCTAACGATATAGTTCAGCCCAATAAGATATTTTTGAGTAAATTGCATATTCTCAAATTTACGTGAATTAAACTTAATTTTGGGTAGAATATACTTAAGAGTAGGTAATTGTTTTGCTGGTGTTAAATGGAAACTACTATATGCGATTTACTCAAATTGGGGTTATTGGGCTGAATCCCGGAATTGAGGGAAAAGTACTTACTGGGTAGTTTTTCATCTCCGTGCACGTCAAATCATCCTCTCGCTGAAGTTCACTCTCCCTCTCTCTTTCGAAGAGTTTTTGTTTACTTCTTCCATATTCCTGCCGCCACTCACTCGAGGTGAGGGCTGGCTAAACTCGCAGGACAAGAGTGTTTTAAAACCCCCAGTGAGTTTGAGGAGTTTCAGCAAGCCTTACCTAGCATCTAATATTACAAACACAACAAGAAACGGTTATGTGCTCAAGTTATTAACGAAAGAGAAAGTCGACGAAGAGAATCGATCAATGTTACTTAGGACCTAATGCAATGTTCAGCTTGATATATCGTGTTTTGCCTGTGTTTGCCTTGAGTGACTCGGTTCGAGATGGGAAATGACAGGTGGGCAGGAACTCACGGTCTCCCAGTATTGGTGAGTTCTTTGCCGTTAAAGTTCACGAAAAGTCCACTATTTTGCCATACATAAATTCAAAAGAAAAATTTTTATCTGTGGATTTGGACAGTTTTTGACCTGTTTCATACGACTGGAAGGTGTATGCTGGTCACAAATGCCGTGTCAAACTGATTTCCTACGCAATTAATCAATCTTTGATGTAAATTTCGCTAATAAACACATTTGCCATAACAAAATGGGCGGTTCATTTTAGTAAACAAACTAACACTTCTTCCGACTGTGTCACCTCTATTACTCGCCTAGGACTCGGTTAACCTTGAATCTAACCTCCAACATGTATGACGCAGATTCAGCTGCATTATTCGGTGTCGGTTTTCATTGCCTCCCGGGAGCCCAGTTCTCCGAGTTTGGATGCCACACTTTCGGCGTGTAGTTCTATTGAGAGACTCGGCACCGTGGGTGAGTTCGAACCCGGTCCGGTTGGTGAATTAGCCGGGGAACGTGCTGATAATGTGTCCGTCGCGTGAATCAGCAAGTTTTCCGCTTGCAAAAGAGCTCGGCTGATGGTCTCTCGCCGGTGTCGGAGATTGCGAGCAATCTGAATGACGCCTCGTTGGATACGCTCAAGACTGGACGGGTGGTAGCTGGTGGCCGTGAACAGTTCCTGGGGAAAGCACCATGGAAATGCGTGAAAATGTGTGTTCTTTGAAGGAAGTATTACGACAAAGGTGAATCACGAAATGAGATGCAAAGCGAAGAGAAAAACAAATCTACGAAACCCATGGATTGGAGGATCAAATTAACATGGTGAGACCAGTCCAAATACTTTTTACAATTTAATACGTGCCAGGATTCAAAAGAACATTTTGAAACTGGAAGTGTGTGTGTAACACTAATATCCAATTGATAGAGGTAATACATCCATGCGGGGTTTATTGTAAATGAAAGTAACCTCGGAATCTGGGAGGGAGAAACAGACTCGGAAAATGTGAATGTCAAGTGAAGCCAGAAATGAGCTGTCACAAACTGTCAGTGGGAGCCAGCAGTATTAAACATCAATCAATGGGAAGTATTGATATCGAATACAAAATATTTTCTTGCTTGAAAACATGTTGCACTGCAAAATTTTCGTTTCTTCAGTTTAGGAATCGGTATATAATTTATCTAAATTGTAATGTATCAAGCATGTTATATCGTAAATTTGATATTTTTCTCAAAATGGAGGGGGTTGTAGAGATATTCAGGTACGGTTACTAAATTTTCGAGTTTGTGTCGGGTACGAGTATACGAAGAAAATATTTTTGAGTTCGGATCGGGTAAGGTGTATATTTGGGTATGGGTAGCATCGAGGGGCACGCAAAAACTTCAACTCCAGCACAGGAAGTAGCCGTAATTAAATTAATTCCATTAATTGCAGGGGTCGGGTACCTGAGCAACTTGAATGAATTTTCCTTCTCACTAGCTCTAATCCTTGAGCCCGAATGAGTTCCTTCGTTACACGCTGTACCACAGACCGGTTCACTTTGTGGTTCGAACTTTTCCTCCAAATCTAGATCGTTCCTGGCGACTTCCGGGTCTGAATCCTCTTCAGTGTTCTGTTCATTTTTTTCATCTCCAATAGCAACCCATTCAGGCACCACAGCAGCAAAGTTCGCGTAGTTATGATCCAGAAGAGCCGGCGAAGAGTAGGGGGACGGGATTTATAAAAGTCCAACAACCGATCGCTCTCTTCCGGTTCGTCTTCAGGAGGTAGCAAGAAAGCTTCAATCGACGGAACGGCATATTTTTTTTTTCGTTTTCTTCCCATTTTTATCGACGCGGAAGCAGTCCTCTAAGAAATGGGCCTGCGAATAATTAAAAAAGATCATAGCAACATTGATAAAATGCAAAACACTTGTACCGTCAACACTTACGCTACAGACTCGCGAGCTTGGTTTAATTTCGCCGGTTCCGGAATCCATCCGACAGAACTTAATGCATTGGGATCTTGTGATATAATTAGTAGGAAAGCGCAAAAAATCCAATCCAGGATAATTCCTGCAGTTCTGGCCGCAGTATTTCACCTGACACTTCATTTTGGCTGGTTCACTACGAGTCTTTACAAGTGATTTTTCAACTCCAACTTTCCACAAGCATTAAGTCATCCGACGATAACACGTAAACAACAGAGACACGAAAAACCGAAACCCCTCATTATGGGAACAAATTACTTGATAATTTTTATTTGCCAAGAATTTTCTTGCGCAATATTGTGATTGATTTATTAGATTTTGTGTGTAGTATTTGCTTCTCCCTCCCAGCTCGGAATGGGCGTGACTCTTCAGACATTCCGAAATGGGTTGCTGGATCTGCAATAGAGCTATCACTTTCTAACTCCCGAACTAAAGCTATCTACAATGACCATAACTGCGGCATTGTAGAGAGAATTCTTCCATAAAAACACTGCCGGCCAGTGGGGGTTAGAGGAACTACACACACACACACACAATCAAGTGGGAACAGGGCTTGTGCAAAAGATCATTGGTCAACCCAAACAAGATTTTTGTGTTCGGATATTACATAAGTAGGGTAATTTAAATAACATTCTACTGTGCACAAGAAGATGTAATGTCGGCAATATTTCGTGTTTTTTTAAAGGAATATTAAAATGACTTCGTCATTAGCATGATGCACATTCGAATGGCTGCGTAGTACCAAAACGTCCTTCCTCATGATGTTCATTTTTGCTCACCATTCGATTTTTTGTCCTTTCCAGCTTACTGAAACCGCAGAAATACGTCGCCCGTCGATCGAACAAGGAAAACCAATCGATCAGCACGATCACGAATGACGGCGGCCCTGGTGGTGGTGGGGGAGGCGGGTCCGCTGGTGGAAACTCCAGCCGCCACCTAAACTCCCAGCAGCAGGCCGTAAATGCGGCCGGAGCCGGAGGGGCCGGCGGCCAGGGCATCTATGATAACAGCCGCCACACGCAGGTAAAAACCTATATGGATCATGGCAATGGTCACGGTATTCGTACGGTCGGATCCAGCCACTACAGTAAGGTGCGTAGTATTTGTTATCTTCCTAGTTGTATTAGCCGCTTCTTTCGAAGTTTGTTTTGGGTTGTTATCTATTATTAGTTATCATTTTTTTTCCGTTCCTCTTTTAACATCCGTTTCTTCTCCAAAAGAAACATTTCTCGTTTTGTTTCATTGTATATTTATTTGGTTTATTTTTTTTTCTTTTCCTTTTCCTTTTTGGTTTTTGTAGTTGACAGAGCGATCCATAGTGTAAATCTCAATAAAAACAAATCAAAACGAACAAAAAATTGTACAGAAACAATTCCCCGTAACACGCACACGTTCAAGTAAATACTGCATTCCTTCAATAGTGCACGCAAACAAAAACAAACAAACGCTCTGTGCAACCGACACGCGCCCCCTTCTTTCGAACACCCCCTCCGCCCACACTCCCTGCCTTCTTCAATTTTCTTCCCACGACCGATTACCACTACTGCTACAGAGACGAGCGCCCATCAGGGGAAGCAGAGAGCAGAAGCTGCATCACACGCACACACAAACATATCCTTCGCTATCGCTAACTACTCCCATTCACACATCCACACGAACGCGCGCGCGTGCGAAAGACGAAAGAGCGAGAGGCAGAGAGGGAGAAAGAGAGTGCCAGTGACTGATAACCTCCTACCAACTAAAAACGATGATATTCCCAACACTGTTTTCTTTTAAAGATACAATTTCTCAATTTTAGTCAGATATCTCAGTTCGATTTCGAATCAAATCTACTACTGTGTTATATAAAAAAGTTTCTTTTAAGAATAACAACCCTTACGTCCTTTGTACTGATTTTGTTAAACTTATTTCTTGTAGACAATTTTAAGACAAAAAAAACTGTTTTCCCAGAAATAAATTTCTATATTTGTTTAAAAATTACAAACGACTTTTGTTTTGTTTTTTTTTTTTGTTCCACACCTTCTTATGGTCTGTCATCACAATACTGGACTTATTTCTTGTACCATTTTTCATTTCTAGGTGTAGTAACTTCTTTATCTCTGTTTTCTCTGTGGTCGTCGTCGTCGTCTTCGTCGTTCAAAGAGTCTTCAAACTAATTCGTGATACTAATCCTTTATTTATCATTCGTAAATGCACTTACAAACTAACAACTTGAGTAGCAGTTTTTCACTAAAAAAATAATACCTTTTCCCGTGTGCGCACCACATTTATTACTAAACACACAAATCGTCTCTGTTCAAACGTTGCACTAACCTCTTTTTCCCCCCCTAATTTCATTTACTTCTGTCACTTTCTGGTATCATTCGCAATAATCTGCCAACCAAATTAACACATTTTAATTATTATTATTCTCACTTTCCTCACAAATTTAATTCGATTGGATAACATCACCACGAGCCACACCATTGCTGTATTGTTTTCGTTTTCCCTCTCACGATTATTATTCTCTATTACTAACAACCACTATTTACGGATATAGCTCTCATACTCTCTCGAATCATTTCTCAACTCAAAAAACACGTTTCTCGAGAAAGAGGTAACAGTACTAACTCAACACCATCGCAGTCTAACAAAACTGTCTTGGCGATTTTTAACATTTGTGTTTGATGCTGAATCCAAAAAAAAAAAAAAAAAAAAAAAAACAAGCTAGTTCGTCTTGAGCTTCTGTGTTGATTGATTTGGTCTTTCCCTTTGTCTGTGCTGCTGGCGTTCAGTGATTGCGCGTTGATTTTTGTTGTGCTTTTGGATTAGTTTTTTTTTCTATTTCGCGTGCTTCCTCTGTGTTCGTAGTCGATATTTATGGCCGTTGGATAAGTTATGTCCGTGCATGTATTTTAAGGGGGTTGGGATCAGTTGTAACTGATGGACAATTTTGTTTATTAGGCGACTAATTGGATCAACAAATAATTTAAGAAGTTCGTTTTTACTCAAATTATTAAAACAAGGCACGAGCTTTTCCAACTCTACCTTTCCGAAATTTCGATAAATTTGTCGCATGTGGTCGCAGTCATAATTTGTTTCAAAATAACGGATAAGAGCATCTCCACCGGGGTTTTATTCGATTAAATGAGATTGCGAAACAATACCACTCCCCAGTAGCAGCGAGTCAACCCGTGATGGGTATTGAGTTCTCCATGCAGAATTATAATATTTTGATAGTTCTTACAACAATACATATGCAATTTTTATACAATACATATGCTGCTGAAGAAGACTATGGACAGTCTAGTAATAGACCTGCCGATGTGTGCCGCCATGTTGTATCCAAACGACAATTTCCGTACAACTTGACAGTTCGTTTGGATACCTCAGTTGACATCGGCAGGTCTATTACGATGAGATCGACTGAGAGATTTTACACTCAAAATCGCACAAAACGTAAGTCACTCATAAGACTGGGTAAAATTTTCGTGGCTTTTCCTCAAAAATCTGCTCGAATATGAGAAAATTAAACTAGGAGTATTCTAATACCTCTCCCGATTTTTTTTTCTATTTCGAAAAGTTTTTCCTGGAAAATTTACTCGGTCGATGATGGCGAATTTGAGTTGGTTTGTGACAGGTTCATATTCGGTTTGACGGCAAATCAGGAAAAGCCGGGAAAAGCGTGTATTAACTGCTATATTAGGTAATAGCCACTATGGTTGAGATAGAGTCGGTGTATAATGAGTCACGCCAAGAGTGAAGCCAAGTCTACCTATTGAACTGTAAAACCGGCTACCTACCGTGCAAAGTAAACAAGCATTACGATGCTATGAAAGGTCCACGAAAGGTATTGCAATTAAATATAAAATATAACCGAAGAAATGATCATATACACGCAGTGAGCATTACATTTTTGTCATGCGACACGTTTTGTAATGATCAGTAATGACAATTTCTACTATTTTTCTTTAAGATAATTCGACAAAATCACTGATATAATGATTTACTACAGCCGTTAATTTTTTTCCTCGCTAGAAGTCATTTGAAGTTGATGTAGAAGCCCTCTGTTGCCAAGTTAAAAGAAAGGGAATCTTTCGAAAACCGTGATGCGAGTTCAACTGTTTTTCTCTTGGCGTGACTCATTATACACCGACTCTAGGTTGAGATCGTCAAATCACAGACAAACAGACGTAACTGTTTAAATAAATTTTCCTTAAATATATCGTCACGGAGCTTACTAACGACATCTCGCGCGAGCTACTAGCTTGCTTACCAAATTTCAAACAATGTTGCATACAAGTTCGATAGAATATATAGAAACGTCAAAGCGATCCGCGAGGTGGTGAAGGATTCGCGCAATTAACAATATTTAAATTGAACGTTAAATGCGTGTACGACAATCGAGACGAAAGACTTACGTCTGTTTGTCTGTGGTCAAAATGCGTGCTGACGGAAAATCCGTGTATGAGCATCCTCAGATTATCGAATCCCCTAATGAATCCCGGTGATTATTTTGTCATACGGGGACCGGAGTAGGTGATAGTGATTCAGGAACAGGTTTCCTAGAACAAGATGCTAACTGAGGATTTCAACAATGAGCAGTTCCACGCCAAATGACGAACCGGAAAAACTCGACCTTCTCCTCCAATTTGCATAAAACTTTGCATCATAGTTTGTTATGTATGGACAATGATTCACATTTTTGTTAATATTCGGCCATTTTGGATCTTGTAAAAAATGCAAAATGGCGTCTTTGGCATTTTTCAAAAAAATGTAGCACAGAAACGGCATTTGTGATCGAAATGACGTCGGAAACTTCTGAGACGTCTAAAAAAATAAATGTTTTAAGGGAAAATACACAAAAAACTGTTTTGAGTAATTTCAACCAAAAAAAGTATCTGAAAATCTTAAAATTTCTTCGTCCGATTTTTGAATTTTTTTAATGTTTAAAATTATGGACACTTCGTTTTTGGTCATTTTTGCCAGAAAAACATTATTTTTCTCTACAACTTCGTCTCAGACGTCAGTTCGATCGTGTTACAATATTTTCAAAAAAAAGGTTGCCGCTTTTTTGAAAATTTTACAAAATCCAAAATGGCCGACTTTTAGCAAAAATGTGAATCATTGGGCTGATAACAAACTATTATAAAAAGTTTCATACAAATCGGAGAAGGTCGATCAGTTGAATCGTGATGTGATTCTATGCGATCCATTCTCAGGTGTCGAATTCGACCCACATGTCCCGTACGATTCTGCTGTCGAAGCATAGAAAGTTCTATCTGAAGCACAATTCGATGATGGAGGAGATTCCGGTGGTCATAAATTCCGAAAACGTTTCTTGTGAATCCCAGAAGGATTCTAATAAAACCTAATTCCGAAGAGAATTCTGGTGAATCCCGAAGAGGATTCTGGTGAATCCCGAAGAGAATTCTGGTGAATCTCGAAGAGGATTCTGGCGAATCTCGAAGAGGATTCTGGTGAATCCCGAAGAGGATTCTGGTGAATCCCGAAGAGGATTCTGGCGAATCCCGAAGAGGATTCTGGCGAATCCCGAAGAGGATTCTGGTGAATCCCGAAGAGGATTCTGGCGAATCCCGAAGAGGATTCCGGCGAATCCCGAAGAGGATTCCGGCGAATCCCGAAGAGGATTCCGGCGAATCCCGAGAGGATTCCGGCGAATCCCGAAGAGGATTCTGGCGAATCCCGAAGAGGATTCCGGCGAATCCCGAAGAGGATTCCGGCGAATCCCGAAGAGGATTCTGGCGAATCCCGAAGAGGATTCTGGCGAATCCCGAAGAGGATTCTGGCGAATCCTGAAGAGAATTCTGGCGAATCCCGAAGAGGATTCTGGCGAATCCCGAAGAGGATTCTGGCGAATCCCGAAGAGGATTCTGGCGAATCCCGAAGAGGATTCTGGCGAATCCCGAAGAGGATTCTGGGGAATCCCGAAGAGGATTCTGGCGAATCCCGAAGAGGATTCTGGCGAATCCCGAAGAGGATTCTGGCGAATCCCGAAGAGGATTCTGGCGAATCCCGAAATTCTGGCGCATCCCGAAGAGGATTCTGCTGAATATTGAAGAGGATTCTGGCGAATCCCGACGAGAATTCTG